AATTATGGAAACCCTAGTTGCAGGAAATGTCTTTCATACACCATTCTGGAATAGGACAGAGGGAGGCTGAATGGAGAGCTGCAGTAAACAAGCTGTGTCTGTCCAGGTTGAGAGGCAAGTGACCTAGCATGGCTCCCCCAGCTTTGCCTCACCTTGAAACAGAGCAAACAAACCCTATCCTTCCGTTGCTCCCTCCCCCTTTTGGGCACCAAAATACTTAGCATGCCCACCTTTCCCCAGAAACTACTTGGATTCCCTCTGAAAGGAGCCCAAGGAGGGAAGCTTCTTTGGGTAAGAAAGACACCGGCTGGTTGCAAGGCAAAAGGGAAGGGAGGGGGGCAGGCATGTGCTCTTTTTCCCCTTTAGCCTTGGCTAGCTAGCTCAAGCCAGCAAGCCAGAGCAGAAGGAAAGAGAAGGGGGGAAGGCATGCACTCTTCTTGCCCTTTTGTCTTGGCTAGCTAGCTCAAGCTAGCTAGTCAGGGCGGAATGGAAAGGAAAGGGGCAGGCTCGGCCTCTGTTCCCTTTTGCCTTGGATATTGTAAATGCTCTGGCAACTCCTGGGGTTTCCTGTTCCTTCCCCCCTTTTATTGCCCTCTCCCTCCCTTTGCCAGGAGAAACCTGGAGGAGGGCAGCTGCAGGGCCATTTCTTGGTACGGGCTACCCAGGCAGCCATGCAACCATTCCTTCTTCAGGTGGAAGTCCTGCTGAGCTTGCTTGCCCGCCCACCCTCTTCGCCAGGCACTCCATTCAGACAACATTGTTCCTTCCATGAAGGGACCTCCCTTTTTCACTTTCCCAAGCCACTCCCCAGCCTCACTTTCCTTTCCCCAATACAAACTTGTGGGGCTCCAGGTTCCCTTTGGAACTTGGGCTTGCTAGCAGCAATTATTGTGTGCCTTCAAGTTGTTTTGACTCATGGTGACCCTAAAGAGAACCTATCATAGGGTTTTTTTTTTGAAAATTTTTCTTCAGAGGGGGCTTGCCATTACCTTCTCCTGTGGCAGGGAGAGTGTGAGTGGCTGGGATGGGGTTGCATGGCAAGTAGGATTTTGTTTACTTCATTTGCAAAATTACCCAAAAGCAGCCACTTCCCTTGCTTAAGATACTTTCTCTCTTCTCTCTCACCCCCATTTGAACAGTGGACCTAATACCAAGAAATAGGCATGAGGGGAAGGGGGTGCTAGAATTGTCACCCAAGAGGAAAGGAGGCGGCAGCCTGAAAAAGTTTGGGGACCACTGTGATATTCTTTCTCTTTATATTTTGATAACATTGGCCAAGAGATGACAACGGAAGGCCCATAAGGAGGACATGAATGCTCATGTTCATAAGAAACTAGTACTAAGCAGTACACTGCATCCAACTCTGGAGTTAATATATAACCATAGTGACTTGTATCCATTGATGCTTGTATTCTGTGAATTGTCTAATGTACTTTTAAAGCTAAGTTGGAGGCAGTAATTGCATCTTGTAGTGAGTTCACTTTCTTTTGTATATCCCATATCTCCCAATATTCAGCTTCATTGGATGGCCTTGCGTTTTTTACTATTATTGGGGAGGAACATATTCTTGGTACCAAGTATAATTTTAAACAATTCCATTATGTCTCCTGTCTTCCCTTAACTAAAAATCTCCAAACACTTTAATCTTTCCTCCTGAGTTTTCTCCCTTAATAAGAATTTCTCAGACACTGTATTCTAATTTATGAAATGTAGTAACCAGCACCATATTATAATGTTTGCATCTTACTCTTCAGATAATCAGATAATTTTTGTAGGTCGGTGTGGTTACTGCAGTCCTTGGATTCACTTAGTCTAATTAGAGATGCTTCTTACCTGCCATGAATTGTCGAAAGTTTAAACATAATGCAGATGAATTCAGCGACTCAAGCACATTTTTAAAGAGAGTAGTAGAGGCAGGACAGATTCTAGAGTGCAGTGTTGAAAGTCACTACTTTGGAGCATGCCAAGTGTATATAAACTGAGCAGTCCCGTGACTTGAAAGAAGGAAAATACTGAGAGATGATGGTTGCAAAATGACTTTTGGTGGTACAGAGATTTCTATGTGGGAAGGGGAGATGGCTGAATAGTGGAAAAAGTGGTTCAGAACTGTGGTGGCTGCAAGGGAGAAGATTCTCTGGGATGGAGACTAGTACTAATGCAAGTACTAATTGCTAAATACAGAGGATTGTCCTGTTATCTGGTGAGGTTTTAAGACTTTGGTTGCAAAAAAGGATGGGGTTCAGTTCTCCAGTCACTTATTGAGAAGCAAAGTTGAATTCCACATGCATTCATTGCTTCCTGACATCACTGCTTCACCCAGAGTCTGCAAATTAAATCAGATGTCTGTTGGCTTCTGTTGAATTTGCTTGGAGCAGATTCAAGTTCTGCTTATTCATGAGAAAAGGACAGTAGAATGTTTTAAAAACAACAAAACTCCCCAACTTCTGTGGCCAAGTGCTGGTTTAGTTTTGTGAAGTTTGTCTGGTTTGTCACAGCTTAATACTGTCTGTCGGTTGTTAAAGTGGTTGAAGAGCAGATGCTGAAGTTTCATTTTACAGGTTTGTTACACGGAAATGCTTCTTGTGCGACTTGATTTTTCTGCTGTGGTGCTTAGGAGTTGGCGGGGAGATTGGAAATGCTGTTTTGAGCACTTTGAAGGTCTTTAAAAATCAGACAGCAACTCTGCAAGGGAGGTAACATGCTTTGGAGATGCAAGTTTGCTTTGGAGATACTACTTTGCTTAAAGGTTAATAGCTTTAATTTTCTATGTAATAGCATATATATATATATATATATATATATATATATATATATATATATATATATAGCCAACTTGATCAGTCTAGACTGCAGAAGTCAAATGTCTGGATTTTTGTCAAAAAAAGCATCTATTCCTTTCCATGCTCTCTTGTGACTGTGCAGGATCAGACTTAGAGGGAGTTTAGAAAAGATCTGTCATCTGCTACATTCATGTTGTCTTTATTTAAATCTGTAGTTCAGCGATACCTTTTGTTATACAATTGTCTCCGAGAAAAACAGGAGCTGGGTTGGACATGAATCGGCTGTCTTTCCCCTAATCCTTCACTGCTACTTTTCCTCTGTGCAGAGATTAAAAGTATCACAGAAGCAAATGTTTGTTGGGACAGGAAGTAGAAATTTCTATTTCTGTTTGTTTTAACTGAAATGATTTAAATTGACATCTTTTTTCTTTGATTTTCTGTTGAGAAATCTCTCTTTAAATTTATCAGCTGGTGCCACCTAGAGGTTTATTGCACAGTTGCGTTTAAAGCCATTTCTTCATTTATTGGAAACCTGGGTGCTTGCAGGCTAGGCCTGGGAATAGGAAGTCTCCTCTAAGGTTCCCTTTCTGAACTTATTTGTTCATATAGAACAATTCATGCATTCTGAGGGTGATTTTGTTGGGATTTTTAAAATAAAAAATGTGTTTCTCTGGACCTGAAGGACTTTTTGGCTATACTTTTTGTCCTTTAGACTCTCTTGGGTTTTGGATTATTTGTTGAGCTTGTAGTTTACACTGAGGTAAGATGTATTTTTGAAAATCATAGTAGTATTTCAGTTTGTATCTTACCCTAAAAGCTCAAATGCATTTTTAATGTCTGCAATAAAAAGCGACCTCCATGTTGGCTTCCTTTCCCTCAGCAGATTTGATGAATATAGTGTGTGAAATAAAATGTTTAATGGAACATAGTGTTGCTGCTGTCTTATCAATTTCATGCTGTAAACCAGGCAGACAGTGTATCGTGGACTCAAGTTATTTCTATAATTAAGAGAATGGGAGGAAATACTAGAGGCTTGGTTAATTTTCACTTATTCCACAAGGAGGCAGCATTGCTTTATCACAATTTACATTGACAAGAACAACTATTTCTAGGATTATTATTATTATTATTGTTATTTTGTGGTCACCGATTGTACTCTTAATGTTCATACAAGAACTGAAGAATGCCCATTTCCCCCTTTTTCCCCTCTAGAAAACCTTTGCAGCTGTTCTGTACTATATCAAAGCAAAACTTTCTTCTTTGCAGGACTACCTCTCTCCTCTTTGGAACTGACCTTGATAACTAAAAGCATATATTTCCTCCCCTTTTATCTGTTCATTAGCCATCTCCAAAGAAGATAAACAATCTTGCCACCCATCATCACCAACTGTGTAGCATATCACACCATCCAGTATTACGGAGCAATGGGCTAACAAACATGGCAGGAATTATGATCCTGACACTGAAAGATGGAAGACCCCTTGTATTGAGGTAGCAAAATTTACTTCCACTGGTAGAATGGTAGAACCTAGCAGAATCCAGAATGGTGTAGTCTCCAACCCACCATAGCCCCGCTGGGGTGCCCAAAACTGATTCTGGCGGCATGGGAAACCCTTTGGAGCTGGATATTGGGTGACGTAAAGAGCTGTAGTGGGGATCAGACAGGAAGATGGTCTGTGTAACCTTAGACGTTAACCTGTTGTAGCCACTAGTGGTATTTATTTATTTATTTTGAATATTTATACCCTGCTCTTCAGCCAAAAAGGCTCTCAGAGCAGTTTACAAAAGGTTAATTAGACGGTATATAATGTAACCATGTATATTACACATAGTCTTGCCTTTTTAGATCTTGAACTTTAGATTTGAGAGCTATTTGATTATTTTTGTTATTGTGTGCCTTCAAGTCATTTCTGACTTATGGCGACCCTAAGGTGGCAAACCTATCATGGGGGTTTCTTGGTAAGTTTCTTCAGAGCAGGTTTGCCACTGCTATCCTTTCAGGCTGAGAGAATGTGACTTGCCCAATATCACCCAGTGGGTTTACATGGCTGAGCTGGGATTTGAACCCAGGTCTCCAGAGTCCCAGTCCAACACTCAAACCACTACACCACTCTGGCTGTCTTGATTATAGGTTGGTGGAATAAAACTGAAGTAAAATAATAAACTGTCCTATACAATTATAGTCGTCATCAGCTGCTTTCCCTTCTGTAATCTCTTTCTTTTTGTGGAGAGAAGGATTAGAATGATTAAACTTATTTGCTACATCCCAAAGGCTTGTGGCAGCTCACTAAGAGACTTGTAATAATATCCCAAAGACATACTAACTAAGGGTCTTTACAGACTGTCAGAAATAATGCAGCTTGAGACCACTTTAACTGCCCTGGCCCAATGCTAGGGAATCAGGGGAATTGTAGTTTTTTCTAAGACATTGAGCTTTCTCTGTCAAGGAGCTCTGGTGCCACAATAAACTATAGTTCCCATGATTCCCTAGCACTGAGCCAGGGCAGTTAAAATGGTCTCAAGCTGCATTATTTCTGGCAGTCTGTAAAGGCCCTAAGATAAACCATACTGAAACTTGACCTCTGTCCTTTCTCTAGTCTCTGGATGGCTTTAAAAAAAAAAAACAAAAAACCTTTCAATTATTTCAGTTCCACAAAAAATACTAAATACACAACAACAACAAAAATGTTGAAACAGGCTTAAGATATTTTTGTTGTTGTTAACTGCCCTCGAGTCGATCTCGACCCATGGCGACCCTATGGATGAGACATCTCCAAGACCCTCTGTCCTCTGCTTAATTCCTGCAACCCCTTAATACCCGTGACCTCCTTAATAGAGTCCATCCATCTAGCACCTTTATTGACAGCTTCAGTTTGGTCATCTTGGCTTCCAGGGAGGTTTCCGGCTTGATCTGCTCTAGGACCCATTTGTTTGTCCTTTTGGCTGTCCGTGGGATCCTCAGTACTCTTCTCCAGCACCATATCTCAAATGCATTGATTTTCTTCCTGTCATCTTTTTTGACCGTCCAGCTCTCACATCCATACATGGTAATAGGGAATACAATGGCTTGTATGATTTTAACTTTTGTGTTGAGTTGTATATCTTTGCATTTTAGAATCTTTTCTAATTCTTTGATAGCCACTCTCCCCATTTTTAGTCTTCTTCTGATTTCCTGACTACAGTCCACATTTCTATCAATGTTGGATCCAGGTATGAGAATTCTTTTACTATTTCTATTTCTTCATTGTCTAGGTTGAACTTGTGAAGGTCCTCAGTGGTCATTATTTTTGTTTTCTTTATGTTCAACATTAATCCTGCCTTTGCACTTTCTTTTTTGAGGACCTTCACCTAGTAGGTTTTCCAGGTCTGTGAGGTTTTCTGCTAGTATTATGGTGTCATCAGCATATCTTAGATTGTTGATATTCCTTCCTCCTATTTTCACTCTTCCTTCTTCTGTATCTAAGCCTGCTTTTCTTGTAATAAGTTCTGCATACAAGTTGAACAGATAGGGTGAAAGGATGCAGCCTTGTCTGACTTCTTTGCCAATTGGGAACCATTCTGTTTCTGTGTGTTCTGTTCTGACAGTAGCCTCTTGTCCTGAGTACAGATTCCTCATCAGATGTGTTGGCACTCCCATGTCTTTAAGGGTGTTCCATAGCCTTTCTTGGTCTATGCAGTCAAAGGCTTTCTTATAGTCTATAAAGCACATGCTGATTTCCTTTTGGAATTCCCTGGTGCGTTCCATTAGCCATCATGTGTTTGCAGTGTGGTCCCTCGTGCCTCTTCCTTACTGAACCCTGCTTGGTTAACAGAAAAACACATATAAGGACGCTTAACAGACAGTTCCAATAGGCTACTTATCCAGGTGGCATTGTGCTATTAGGATGAACAGAAACGTTCACTGAGGGAGCCTTTCATGGTGGGATTGGGTTCAAGCTAAAGGTGTCTCTCCATAAGTCAGCAGTTTCTGACAGTGGTTGGTCAAATGTCAGGTTGCAGTAACATAATAAGAGTTGACCCATCCTCATAAAAGGAGCATGATTTCTTTTGTTCATTATAAGAATTGATGGTGTAGGAAAGTGTTTCAAGTAACCATGTATTCCAAACTCGAGTCCACCATTTTTCCAGAGTTTACTCTCCCATCTTCCAGCAGGCAGCTATTTCCTTGCAGCAGCCAGGAGGAAGGCAGTAAGGTTTCTGTGTTTTAGAGTATTATTTTCTTTGGTATACAGATGGGGTAACAAAAGTGCAGGACAAAAATGGATGGTTTGTTTGGTGATAAGTGAGATCTGGTTTAAGATTACTGTCCCAAAGTCTTAATTTTAGGACATTCTGTCCACATATGGATATAGAAGCCAGTCTGTTTGCAACACTCCAGCATGATGTTGGGACATTTTTTGGCTATTCTTGATAATTGGATGGGAATTAAATATCATCTGTGAATTTTAAGTATTCCTTCTCTTGTATTAGCTGATCTGGGCTTATAAAGGTGAGAGGAACAAACATGGAGCCAGTTGTTTCCATATGTGGTCTCCACTAATACCCTATATACGATTGCAGCCTCTCCTTTACTTTGTGGATGATTGTCAGCACATAGTGACTTGTAGGGAATTGGTGTATGTGGAATTTCTTCTTTCACTGCCAGCCAGGTGGCAAAAGAGTAGACTTGGTTAATTTGAAACCATGTAATTTTAATATATTACAGTTGAATGGAAAGAGATTCCTTAGTTTTAGGTTTTCCACTCATAAATAGGTCTTGAATGTGGTATAGTCCTTGAACTCTCAATTCTTTGAACCGATTACATTTGTCTGGCATATGAAAACTTGGATGGAGTAAGAAAGGCCTCAAAAAGGAGGGATGAGTTATCAAAGCATGTCTCCAGTTTTTCCATGTAGTTAATGAGTGACAGAGAAATGGGTTTTGTAAGTCTGAGTGTGAGTTTCTTTTCTTATTGAGAAGTTGAGGTTGAATTTGGGGGAGGAAGCAGGCCTTGCCTTTGCCTTGACCCATCTGGATGAGACTGTATGTCTTAACAATCTGAGTAAATTGGGCAAGTTGAAAAGCATAAAAGTGGAGTTTAGTAAATGGGATTGCCAGTCTTCCAAGATTAAAGTGGATATGTCCAAGATTGATTTCAGAAATCTAGACCACTTATTGTCAAAAATAAAATTGTTAATGAGCCTGTGCCACAATTTAAATTTAGACAGTGAAGGAGTTAAAGGGCTAGGTTAAAAGAGAAAGAAGAAATGAGGTGCTAAGAACAGTTTAACTAAAATGGACAATTTCAGAAAGCACTATGGTTGCAATTTGTTTTTCATCCACTTGGTGAAGTGATTAATAATTGCAAAGAATCAGCTGTGCAATATCTTTAGTAATTAGTATTCCTAAATAGTGGAATCCTGAGGGGTATAATTGTAAGCAAGTCAGACACTGCCAGTGCCCTTCTTGTAGATGAGGTACATTTATGCACATAAGAGAGGATTTTAAAAAGTGAATTCTAAGGCCTGAATAGGTGCCAAAAAGTTCTAACAGATGTTCTAGAATTGGGAAAGATTGGTCAAGAAGTTTTTTTTTTTTAAAAAAAATCAAAATATCATTTGCATATAACACAGTTTTATTGTGGTAATCATGAAGTTAGGTACCCATGATTTCATGGTCAAGTCAAATTAGATGAGTTAGCAGTTCTGTGGATAAAGCAAACAGAAGAGGTGACCACTGCATGAGTTTCGAGAGAAGTAATTAACCAAGCTTCAGGGAGGAGAGCATCACAGAGCAGCCCAGAAAAGGATGGAATAACCTTAGAATAAGTATGAAGGACTGTTCGTCCTCCTTTCTCAGGGCCCTACAATATATGTAGATGTACATGTGCAGTGATTCTGCGAATACAGAAAATTTTTCTGCTTAGAAAAGTGGAGATCATTTAGAGTTGTCTGTGAAGTGAAATCTTAACATGACTGTTGTTCTGTTTTAATTCCTCCCATCTTATTCTCTAGAGCAGGGGTAGGCAACCTTTCCTCTTTAAGGGCCGAGGGACTTCAGCTCCCAGAAGCCTCAGCCATGTTGGCCAATAATCCCATGTTGCCTAATAGCTCCTGGGATTCTGGAAGCTGAAGTCCCTCAACCCTTAAAGGGGAAAGGTTGCCTACCCCTGCTCTAGAGAGTTCTGTGTGACCTGAAATCCTATGTGTGTTGGAACTCTAAGGGTTTGAACTTTGGTATCCTATTTAATTTCATTCTCAAAGAGCAAAGATCTGTAGAAGGTGTCTGTTCATTTCCAGGCAAAAATCTATCTTGCCATATTAGGGCTCTGGCAAGGTATGTATGTTTAGAAGATGCCATAGCAAAAGAAATTGGCTGAAATAAAACTTCTGTTGTTGGGAGCAGTTGTCAGTGAGGCAAATGCATTAAAAACAGAATGTTTTCTAATTCCACCATGTCTGAAATCTTGTTGCTTTTGTACCATTGGAGCTAAAACTTGTCTGTATTGGGCATCATTATGTACCCACAGTGGTAATTCATCTTCATGAAAACTTGTCACTATTTATAACCATCAGAATATTTCAGAACAAAAGAGAGAGAGCATATCTTGCTGCTGAGCTTAGGAAGTTGACAGGAAAAGAAAAGGAACAGGGATATTTCAAACATTTTCCGTTGTAGCTGGAGGCTATCTTTTTCAAAGCAGTAAAAATGTTTCATCAGTTTGTGCGTGTGTGTTTGTACCAATTTGTTGTTTTGTGCCAAAAGGATCAACACACCAGATTGCATGGATGCACTGAAACCAGCAAATGTATGGACAAGTTTATCAAAAATAATAATCTAGCACTCTTACATAAACCACAGTAGGAACCATATTCTCAAACCATATGCCAGTACTATGAAGAATGTTTTAAAAAATAAATAATCTTTAGATTAAACTCAGGGTGTTTACCGTGGACACATTTGTTCTTCAGTACACTTTAATAAGAGTAAAGTGTGGGAAACATTGGTCGGGTCTGTTTCTGTACTTGATGGATTCTATTCCGCCTTGGTTCCTTCTAGAATCTGAGATGGATTGCAATATCTGAGGTCATAGAAAACAGAAAGATAAAATGGGAAAGTTCAGTATTCCTTTTATTT